TGAGGAATGGTTATCAGTTAAGGATCAATTAGAAACAAATAATGTCAAGTCACTGAAAGCTATTGAAACACAATAGGCACGTATATAAGGAATAATAACTGGCTTAAATGGGTAATGACAAAACTTTATCATGTCATTTAGTCTCTTTTGGCCAGTGACTTAAGTTAGAAACTTACAAGTTTCAGGAAACATACACTTTACCATTGTGACAGAAAAGGATAAGCTGTAATCTCTTCCAGTACTTTAGATCTATACATGTAAATAGTTGAATATACATCCACGTAAATCAATATAACAAGTACTTACTTCTATGTATAAAATTTACAGTTGGTATGGAGAGTAAACTTAAAAGTATGCCAAACATTTCAGTAATAACTGTTTTACTACAAGCTCCTCATAGCTCTATGTGCGTTTCCTTGGAAGTTACTCAGGAACCCCCTGAGAAATAATGGCTCAACCTAGACATATAGTTATTTGTGTGTGGCAGTTAGAGCAACTCTGCTTCCAAGTTAAAATCCTGTGGTACAAGCAGCACGTCCTTACAACTCACCCTCCCTCTCTTTCTCAGGGGAGCACTGAAAACTTTAATAATATCAGTTTCACAGAGAGTAGAAAGTCACTTTATGTGGATTTGCAGATTAACATTTACTACTTTACTTCCCCCGCCCGCCACCCAACATCTTTCCTTTAAAAGATCTCCATTGATTATCCTGACACCTGCTGGCAAGGGCATAGTCGATGATCCTAGTCTACTTTTCCCTTCAACAATTCCCCCAAAGCAAAGACTGTTTAGAGGTATTTTCAGTAACAATTAAGTGGTAATTCATTCAGTGTAAGTATTTATAGTACTTAATTTTTAGCATTATCACACAGCCATGAGAAAATTTTCAATAATCCATTTCACGTAGCCAACAACTTGTCTTTATATATAACTACATGTTTGCTTTGATTAACCAAAAGATATTGTAATCATTATATGGGCTGTGATTTAAAAAACAAAAATAAAAACACGCTAGACATCTTCCTTAAAAGACAGGTAAGAATTAAATAATAGGAATGGCTTGGCTTTGGTTTTCTACTATTTTTTTTTTTTTCATCATAATAACATCAGTTTGCAAACTACTTAGGAAATAAACTCAAACTCATATAAACTCATAGGGGTAAACTGATTAGCCTGAGAGAAGCCATACCATTAATTACATATTTGCAAAATTTGCTGTTTGTTTCTCAGTACCCAAGTGTTTTGATTTACTCTGATTTGAACTGAGTTCTGAAACTCGCACTGTTTTTCGTGGGTTTATTTGGCAAGGAATATAATGAACCTACTACATCATAAATGATACTCAAATCTATTGGCGCCTGCAAGTATGTTCAGTAAACAACAAATATCAGAATTACTTTCTTAGGCTTTAGGAAACTCTCAGATCAGGCGGGTTTTCAAAACTGTACACAAATGATAACATATACAGGCCAACCCATTATTCAAAACACTTCAAAAGATGAAGTTTTAAAAATAAATTACCTAATTAAAATTTGTATCTTAATTAATATCAGTGAAATTAAGAGTGTGGACTACTAATTTAGAGTCTAAAAACTGTCAAACTTATACTTTGTAATGGTTTTGAGCAACCAAGCTTTTTTAGTCTAGTCATGTATATGGTATTCTCATTTTGTGAGAAGGAAAAATCATATGTATCTAACAAGAAAGGAAAATTTTATGAAAATATTTATTAAAAATACCCTACATCCTGAATACATGTTTTACATAAACACTGATCTTAAGATATTTGAGAAAAATACAAGAGAGTTTTAATTTAGAGAAGAGTTCAGAAGTAAAATACATTTGCCTGGTTTTGAAGATCTTTGTAAATTCAAGACTACAGAGGGGAGAACAGACCATTTCAATTTTGGTAACCCTTAATTTGTATTATTATAAATGTTTTCCCCAAACAATATAAATTTAAAACAAAAATACATTTCAATTCTAAGAAAATATTTCAAAAATAATTAGAAAAAACTTTTTTAGGACTAGAAGGGAAAAAATGTGTTTTGTATCATAACAGTGGTCAGGGCTTTCTTTGCATTAGTGTCAAACTGTACCAGCAGGATACTTTATCTTCAATTACTTATTATTTTTAATTCAGTATTTCAAAATTATTTTTTTAATGTTTCACCTGGAATCTGCAGCTGGCATTGATTTTTAAAGTATAAAATTAATGATCATGTAAATCAAGTAATGAAGACACTAATGTGTAATAATTTTTTTAAAGTACAGTAACCTGTTATTTCAGCATCAATATTGCTATACTAATCATAGAAGCATGAGTGTTTTTACCTCGAGTGAGACTGTTCAGGTACTAACTGATCCCCATGTAGAATTAACTAAAAATCGCCATTGATTTAAAAAGGAAATGTGAATGCCAATGATTCATAGTATTTAGGACATGTCTAGACATTTTTAAACAGTGCCATTTGCTTAAAGACTTCAGACACAAACTGCAAGCACAGGGACAGATTGCATAAGATGTCACGTGCTTGCTGCAACTGTATGCATGTAATTGGATTTTTTAGAGCAACCCATAACAATGAATAATTTAAGAGTTAATGAAATATTCAATCTGACAGATCCACTGGTTTAATTTTAAAATAAAAACGACTAAGAAAAGGAATTACATGCCCTTATCAAATCCCAGTCATTAATATGTGTAAATTGCAACCCACACGGGGAAACACCAATTTATAAAATATATACATTAGACAAATGATATCGGGGGAGGTGGGGTGGGAGAGGTGCAAGGTAAATTCTCATCGTTAACACTGGCCTCAGTAAGTTTGCTCAAAGTTTAATTGTTTGGAGATGTCACGCAAGCTGTACTCTACCTTTCTGCAGAGCTGAGGGAGAATAAATTAGAAAGGTGCAAGTTTAACAAAAAGAGCTCGTGGAAAATGGTCCATTTCTTTCCTATCCCTCTCCTCACAGGCTGTCTGGACAAAAAGAGAAATCTGCGGAAGAACGTGGAGTACACACTGCCCAGTATTGTCTAGGAGACGGAAAGAGAGCCCAGGCGACACACCAAGAGTAAGCTGTGCCCTAGGCGTGTGTATCTTTGGACAGCAGAGCTTCCGGCTGCAGCGAGACGGGACTCACCGCGCCCGAGGGCTCCAGCAACCAGACCTAGGGAGGCTAGCGCGGCACACAGGCATACTTTCTCCTCCTCCACCTGCGCCGCCCTCCGCCTAGGTGCCAGGACTGATGATGGAGGCGATGGTGTCAAGGAGTAGGTGCCTGTGAGTGGGTGAGTGTGTGTTTTCGGTTTGGGGTGGGAACGGAGGCGGGGAAAGGAAGAGGGGGGGGGAATGCCTGTCGTTCTCCCCCTCCTTTCCTGCTG